AATGCAAAATGGCACAGGCACTTTGGAAATCAGTTTGGCAGGTTTTAAATATTTTTATTTATTTATTTTATGTGTATGAGTGTTTTGCCTGCATGTATGTAAGTGTACCACATGCATGCAATGTCCATGGAGGCCAGAGAAGGGGTCATGGTCAGATCCCCTGGAGTTACAGACGGTTTTAGCCTCAGTGTAGGTGCTAGTAACTGAACCCAGGTCTTTTCTAAGAGCAGGAAATGCTCTTAAACACTGAGCCATCTATCCAAACCTAGTGTGTCAATTTCTTACTAAACATACTCCTAGCAATCATGTTCCTTGGTATTTACTCAAAGGAATTGAAAATATATATCCATAAAACCTACACAGAGATTTTAAAAAATTTTCTACAAAACTTTATTGAGAATTTCATACATGGGTATAAGGTATTTTGATCAAATCCATGCCCACTCCCTCCCCTACAACATTCCCCTCTCTGAAGAGGTAACCTTAAAACCTTTTAAGAATTAGATACAAGCTCCCAAATACTTTTGACATTTTTGGCCTTTGGAACAGAGTATGTTGCTAACAGGCCCAAGGACATTTTGACTTTTAGCTAAGAAACTGGCTACATTTCTTTAGGGTCTTTTTACCCTAACTGCCTAGCCAATTCCTACCTCCTATCCGTATCACACCATCCTCTGAAGGGGTTACCCAAATTGCCAATAGGGAATAGGGATGCAGACCACTTTGGCTTCTTCCATACTGAACAGGGACGCAGGGTGAGGCAATTGGAATACCCCTTCAGTGAGTCTATCTAAAAAGACTCCCAAATTGCATAACTCTTGTCTACACAGAGATTTTTTTTTACAGTGGCTTTATTCATAATTGCCAAATTTTGAGAATAAATGAGGCATCATTTAATACATAGATACAAAGACTTTGGTAGATCTAGGCAGTGGAGTATTATTCAGGGCCAAAAAGGAGTGAGTTACCAAGATGTGAAAAGACTGTGGCTGTGGCTGGAGAGATAGCTCAGTAGTTAAGAGCACTGTCTGCTCTTGCAGAGGACCCAGGTTTGATTACCAGCACCCACATGGCAGCTATCACCCATCCGTAACTCCAGTTCCAGGGAATCCAACACCCTCTTGGATTGTTGGAACTTTGTACTGCCATGACCAAAAGAATGTAGCAAAAACACTCCATGGCTTGCAAGGTAGACGACAGAAGGTTTGTAAGGACTTCATATTGGTCCTCTCTTCTCCCTGGGGAAGTTTGCCAATAAAATCCACCTGTGTGGAAGTTTAGGGACCTGGGAAAGGTCATGTGTGTTCTAGTTACTCCTACAAAGGTTCTAGCCAGCAGTAGCATTAACTACCAGATTCATGGTGAATGAGCCTTTCTATGACTCCAGCCCTCACTTTTGAGTCTTTTACCTGGTGCCCCAGATACTGGGAAACAGAGATGAATCATCACAATACCCTGGATCAATTCCAGGGTATTAAATAACTGATTATATTTAATAAATATAATAAATGATTATTTTGTTATTAATATAATATGATACATAAATGATATATTTCAAGTGCTCATTCACCACATGTGTTACCATATCAGATATGGAAAGCAATGATTGCCTCAAAGGGGCAAGTGGCTGCTAGCTTCTCAGGAGAGACAATCCATCTTGAACTTACCCTGGACCAAGGTCAAACATCATCATAGAACACTGAAGACCTGGCTACAAGGGCCTGCTTAGATCCCTGGGAAGGTAGAATAAAACTCCCAAGAGGGGATGCATTTAATCACTTCACTTGTAGTGTTGTGTCCATCATGTTTTTTCTTGTTTTAATTCTCTGTATTTCCTGATGCTCTGACACCTTGAAGTTCTTCCTGACCTGAAGAGACTGTCCCTCTCAAGCTAGCCAGTTTCTAAAGAAAGTAAAGGACCCCCGAAGAGCATGTCTTTCCTGTGCAATGAGCCTGAAGCCCAAACCCCAGCCACCTCCTCTACCAAGCTCTCACATCCGACACTGTTCTTCTGCCCTGTTTACTCCAGGAAACTAGAGATGGTCCCAGAGCTCACTACAGTTATTCACACCAGCCAATCCAAAACCTGCCTTACCTGCTCTGTCCCACAGAAACTATAGTAAGACTCTTGTTGTCTGGGCTGGAGAGATGGCTCAGCTATTTTGTTTTATTATTATTATTATTATTATTTTATTTTTATTTTTGGTGCTTTTGAGACAGGGTCTCCCTGTAGCCCTAGCTGGCCTGGAACTCATGATGCAGATCAGGCTGGCCTTGAACTCACAGAGACCCATCTGCTTCTGCCTCTCGAGTGACGGGACTAAAGGTGTATGATACCATGCCCTGAGGCTCAGCTGTTCAGAGCACTGGCTTTTCTTGCAGAAGACCCAGATTCAGTTCTCAGGACCTTCATGAAGGTTAACAACCATCTGTTAACTCCAGTTCCAGGAAATCTAACACCCTCTTGTGGCCTCTGTGGGCACTGTATGACATGGGGTGCACTTACATACATGCGGGGAAAACATGCATACACATAAAATAAGTAAAATTAAATTGTTTTAATTAAAAAAAAATTCTTGCTGACACACCCTCTGTCTCATGCAACTTTGCTCCTTCCCCAAGTGCCCCTGCCTGGTGTGCTGTGGCCTGTTTCTGGGAATCTATGAGTACAATAAACTTCTTCATTTGTGAGGATCATTTCTATATCTGTATTTCTTACCTGATTTAAAAACAAAACAACAACAACAACAGCAAAAACCTTTGGGTATGCTTTAAAACAAATATCCACTCACAAATTTCTGAGCTCTTAGTGAAAACCTTCCTCCTTTTTACCCTGTCCCTCCCCATGGCCCTTGAATAACTTCTGTCTTGGTTTTTGTCCTTTTTGTTTTTTGCTGCTTTTTAAAAAATATTTATTATTTTTATTTTATGTGTATGAGTGTACTGCCTACATGCACGTGAGTGCACCCATGTCATGCAATGCCGCGGAGGTCAGAAGAGGGCTTCAGATTCCCCTGGAACTGGAGTTAAGGATGCTCTGTAGTCGCCATGTGGGTGCTGGGAATTGAACCCAGGTCCTCTGCAAGAGCAGCCAGTTCTCTTAACTGCTGAGCCATCTCTCCAGACCCGGGGGAAGGGATAAGGAGACTATGGAATCCAAAGAACTGCAGCGAGAGCACGAAGATTATGGGATACTGTGAGCAGATGGGGCAAAGGGTGACACAAATCAGTGGTATCAGAGCTGTCTGCAGTGAGCAGCGGCCATCTTCTTGCTGGTCTTGCCCTTCCTGGACCCAAAGTGCTCCATGGCTTGCACAACGCTCATGCCTTCTTTCACCCTCCCAAAGACCATATGGTTGCCAGCCAACCACTCAGTCTTGCCAGTGCAGATGAAAAACTGGGAACCATTTGTGTTTGGTCCAGCATTTATCAAGCTACTAAGACTTTAGGCCTCAGGATGAAGTTCTCATCCTCAAATTTCTCCCCATAAATGAACTTGCCATCAGTGCCATTATGGCATGTGAAGTCACCACCATGGACATGAATTCTGGAGTAAGTCTGTGAAAGGAAGACTCCTTAGAACCAAGTTCTTTCTTGCCAGGGCTCAAAGCATGAAAGGTTTCTGCGTCTTTGGAACTTTGTTTGCAAACAGCTTGAAGGAGACATGGTCAGGGGCTCACAGTCAGTAGTGATGTCAACAGTGGGACTGACCATGGCTTACAGCAAGCAGCTACAGAGGACTGTGGTGTTTGTTTAGCTCTCTTTTAGTTTTCAACAGATTTTTCCAGAATTGCTTTAATTATACTTAAGCACATACAAATATTTTCTCTGGGGCTGGAAAGATGGCTTGGCAGTTAAGAGCACTATCTGCTCTTTCAGAGGACCTAGATTTGATTTCTAGCACCCATATGGTGGCTAACAACCATTTGTCAGTCCCATTCCAGGGGATCTAGCGCCCTCTTCTGGCCTCTGAAGGCTTTGCACAACACAGGTGTACTTACATGCAGGCAAATAATATTTTTAAAAAACAAGTATTTTATCCTTCTTTACCAAACAAACCAACATAATAGACCCACTGAACAGTTTTTAATCATATTATCACTTTTTACTAGTTACTTTTCTCACCACTGTGGTAAAATATCTCACAAAGAAAGGAAAGGGGATTGTTTTGGCTCCCAGTTTGTGGTGGGGAAGGTGTGGAGGCAAGAGCAGCTCCAACTGTGGTGGCAGGAGTGTGAGGTGCCTGGTCACGTTGCATCCAGTCAGGAAAGAGGGAGGGATGGATGCTGGTGCCTTTCTCCTTCTTTCCTTTTTATTGAGCCTAGGACCTCAGCCCATGGAATGATGCTGCACCCCCATCCTCAGGGTGGGTCTTCCTTCCTTGGCTAAACTTTTCTGGAAACAGCCTCACAGACATGTTCAGGTGGATTTCTGTGAGACCAAGGCCAGCCTGGTCTACGTAAAGAGTGCCAGCTCAGCTGGGGCTACAGGAAGACCCTGTCTCAAAAACAAAATAAAACAAAACAAAACAAAAAAAACCCAAAAACAAACAAACAAACAAAAAAAGAGACCAGAAAAAATGAGGGGCTGGAGAGATAGGTTAGCAGCTAAGAACCTATACTGCTCTTGCCAGAGGACCTGACTTCAGTTCCCAGCATCTATGTTGGTAAGCTCACAACCACCTGTAACTCTAGTTCCAGGGTATCTGAAACCTCTGGCCTCTGAGGGCACCTACATTCATGTGCACATAACCCCCCCCCGCAAGACATCCATGCATACACATATTAAAAATAAAGTAAGCTGGGCGTGGTGGCATATGCCTGTAGTCCCAACATTTGGGAGGCAGAGGTAGGTGGATCTCTGCAAATTCAAGGCCAGCCTGGTCTACATAGTGAGCTTCAGGCCAGCTGGGGGTACAGGGAGACCCTGTTTCAAAAAGACCAAAAATGAATAACATAAGTGTTCTGCAAACCAATGGAATGTTAAGAAATACTAATACAGTGCTCACTTCAGCAGCACATATACTAAAATTGGAATGATACAGACAAGATTAGCATGGTCCCTGGGCAAGGATGATACGCAAATTCGTAAAGCATTCCATATTAAAGAAAAGAAGAAAGAAAGAAAGAAAGAAAGAAAGAAAGAAAGAAATAGAAAGAAAGAAAAATTGAATTTCAACACTCACATGGCGCTAACAACCATCCGTAACTCTGTGGGCACTGCACAACATGGGTGCACTTACATACATGCAGGCATACCTTACATACATATAAAAAAAATTTTTTTTGGTCTTTTTGAGACAGGGTCTCCCTGTAGCCCCAGCTGTCCTGGAACTCACTATGTAGACCAGGCTGGCCTTGAACTCACAGAGATCCACCTGCCTCTGCTTCCCGAGTGCTGGAAATACATGTGCCACCACGCCCGGCTATAAAATTTTTTAAAATAAAGTAAAATCTTGAAATAAGTAAGTGGGGCATGCTGACACACACCACTAAGCCCAGCACTGGCAAGGCAGAGGCAGATAGAGCACTTGAAGTGGGGAGGGGAAAATGGTGGGGGAGACAAATGGGCAGGAGGCCCCAACCTTAGCTCAGGAACCACTGACAGATGATCACTACTGGGTGAGGGAGAGTTGGTATTCTCTTAAAGAGTTGGTATTCCCTTAAGGAGTGACACTAGATAGGTTGAACAGGTTCTAGTGAATGAACTCACTCCGAGGGACATCTGGGTATACAAATTTGACTCGATTGGCCTTAACATATATGACAATATGCATGATATCTGGTGATGAGCTAGAGGGGGGTGCAGGTAGGGGACAGGTCTAAATATGACTAAAGTGTATTGTATGAAATGCAGAAAAATTCAATTAAAGTATGTATTGAATTTTAAAACTACTAGTTTTTTACTGTCTAGCAATAGCTTAAACAGGTAGATGAGTTTTGTGTTTTCTTATTGTTGATATTGCTGCTTGTTTTGTCTCTGAATGATAAGAGATTGTTTAATTGCAGACTTCCGGGAAGAACCTCATGCAATAGATGAACATCCTAGAACCTTCCCCCTGGACCTTCAGGACCCTCCCATCCTTGTTGGTCTCTCTTTCTAGTTACCCACCCACGTACTCATCCCAGCGGTCCAGTAGAGTCTCTGAATGCTCACTCCAGTCAAATCCAATCGGCGCCCTCTGAGAATTTTCAGGTTCCTGGAAGTACTTCAATCTATACACAGAGGCCTGGGCAGAGTGGAACATGCCTGTAATCCCAGCAGACAAGAGGAGCATGACATGGAGTCAATTTGAACTATAGCAAGCTCCTGTCTCCAAACAGAACAACAAATACACACATAAACTTGTATTTTATGCCAAAGAGTAGAATTTTTTTTTTTTTTTTTTGGTCTCTTTGATACAGGGTCTCCTTTTAGCCTCAGCTGGCCTGGAATTCACTATGTAGATCAGGCCTGCCTCAATCCACCTGCCTCTGCCTCCTTATATAGGGAGACCCTGTCCCAAAAATAAAATTTTAAAAATTAACTAGTTGCTGGGTATGGTGGCACATGCCTTAATCCCAGCACTTGGAAGGCGGAGCAAGCAGATCTCTGAGTTCAAGTCCAGCCTGTTCTACATAGTGAGCTCCAAGCCAGCTGGGGCTACAGGGAGACCCTGTCTCAAAAAGACCAATAATTAATTAATTAATTAGTATATTGTTTTTTTATAATGAATACCACCTGTTTTAGGTGCCTTCTGCAATGTAACATATCCTCCCCAAACTTAATAGCTTAAAACATTTTATTTGAACATGATTTTGTAGGTCAGTGATTTGATCGGCAAGGTAGAGAAAGCCATGAGGGGGTTCCCCACCTATCAGAGTAGAAAGTGATTAGGTCATTGAGGGCACCATCCTTAGAAGGCATTAATGTAGTCCTAGTGGGACCCCCCCCTCCAAAAACAAATCAGTATAAAAATGGGCCTGGCCCTTAATCCTCTGACTTTGTCTCTCATCGTGTGATCTCCTTGTTTTGCCTGCACCATGGCAGGCACATGCCCTTCCAATAAAACACAAATGAATAAATAAATAAATAAATAAATATAATTGTGGAGGTATTATTTGGGGACAGAGAACATATTCCTGACCTATTTCTCTTTCTTGCCAAGGGAAAGCATGCTTTGTCTGGTTAAACTGGATGCCTTAACCAGGGCTGGAGGGAGGCCATTGAGCCCACTACAGGAAACTCAGTTGTCTACTATGGTCAGGGAGCCAAGGTCAGTGGATGAAGCGGGTGTAACTGGATGGGAGCCACCAGCACTGAGTTCAGAGAACTGCAACCACAAGCAAACATGTACCCTCTATTCTCTTCCTCTTCTCCAGGAGCAAAGCAGCCCAATTTTTATATGAAATCTCAAAACTTTCCCTATGGACTGCTGTTATGAGGCTCCTGGAGCAACAGCTGTGTTCTGTGTCATGTCTGTGCTCTAGTTACATGAGTGTGTCCACACTATGAAAGCCATGGAGTCATGTACTTTTCATGCATTCATTTTTCTATATACATGTGGTATTTAATGTTTGCTGGCTCATTTTCCTCTAGAGTACAAGCTTTCTGAGGTCCAGAGCTGTGTTTTATCACTGTAGTCCTAACAAGCATAGCCACTGGACCGTGCCACATGTTTGTGAATACAGACAGCCTAGTTAAGAGGGATGAGGAGAGTGTAGAGAGACAGAGGCAGTGCAGTACTGTGCATGTCCATGTGTGCATTTGAGTGTGCCTGCACCTGTGTGCACATGTGGGAGGAATCCCAAGGTTGACACTGGGTCTGTCCCCATTGCTCTCCAGCTATATATTTTCTTTGTTTGTTTGTTTATTGGTTTAAGACAGGGCCTCCCTGTAGTCCCAGCTGGCCTAGAACTCACTATGTAGATCAGGCTGGCCTCGAATTCCCAAAGATTTGCCTGCCTCTGCCTCCCAAGTATTGGAACTAAAGGCACGTGCCACCACACCTAGCTCCACCTATACTTTTAGGTCTCTTACTGAACCTGAAGCTCACCCACTTGGCTCAACTGTCTGGCCACTGAACTCCAGAGATCCACTTGTCTGCTTCCCATCCACCCCAGCTCTGAGGCTACAGGTGCGTGCTACCATGCCTGCCTTTGTCTATGGGCTCTGGGATTCAAAGTCAGGTCTTCATGCTTGTGCAGCAGGCATTTTACTGACCAAGCCAACTCCCCAGTCCTTTAACATAAATTCTTTGAAAGCAAAATTTGAAAAAATGTAACACTTACTCCTTTAGCCTGGACCTTCAAAGGAGGACATCAGGATCTGCAGCAAGCCTCTAACTTACCTGGGATGGACATGACCCATGAGAGAGAACTGTGCCTTCTTTTCCTAAGTCCCTCGGTATTAATGGCCTGAGCCTGCCGTTTGCCTCCTCAGTCCCCTTGCCTCTCCTGGTTATCTAGCTGTCTAACCAGAGGATCTCTTCCTCTAATTCTGAGCCAAAGAGAAGGAGGCAAATGCTACCTCCAGCTTACCATGAGCTGCTTTCTGCTGACTTCTGTTTTTACCCTTTTGGGTTTGTTTGGTTGGTTATTTATTGGGTTTTTGTGTGTGTGTGTGTGTGTGTGTGTGTGTGTGTGTGTGAGAAACAGGGTCTCCCTGTAGCCCCAGCTGTCCTGGAACTCTCTATGTAGACCAGGATGGCCTCAAACTCACAGAGATCTGCCTGCTTCTGCCTCCTAACTGCTGGGATTAAAGGTGTGCACCACCACACCTGGCCCTGGTTGGTTATTTTTGAGGCAGGGTCTCACTATGTAGCCTGGGTTAGGATAGAACTCAAAGAGATCTGCCTGCTTCTGCCTCCAAGGTGCGTTTTTACCCTTTCTTGGTGCTTGACATGGAGATGGCCAGGACCCACCTTAGACCACTTATACAAGAATACTACCTTGGTGGATGGCTGAACTGCAAAATGGAAAGAAGCTGGATCTCTGTATGATCACATGTCTCAGAATCACTCTAATATCCAGGGCCAAATTGAATATCGAGATGGTATGACATCAAATTTTGATACTATACCGGCAAGATGATGCACACCTGTAATCCCAGAACTTCAAAGGCTGAAACAGGAAGATCAAGTGTTTGAGATCAAGCTGGGCTATATAGTGAGACCCTATCTGAAGATAAGTAAATAAATAATAAATATAAATAAATAGCTGCCGTGAGGCTGTTACAGTGCTTTTCACAGTGTGGTCCTTAAAACAGCAGTGGCAACAGCACCTAGGAGATGGTTAGAAGTGAAAATAAATTCTTGGGTCCCATTCCAGACCAAATGAGTCAGAGCTCCTGGGGATGGGGCTCAGCAACTGGGTGTGTTAATAAGGTGCCCCCCCATCCTCATGTCATTCTAACACATACTAGTTTGAGAGCCCACTGGCTTAGAGGAGTCAGTAAACTTCTTCTGTAAAGTACCACATAGCAAATATTTAGGGCCATCCTGTCTCCATCCTGAGCCCTAAAGCTATAATGAAGAAGTAGCCAGGTCAGCCAGGAAAATGATAGCATGATCAGGTTTGGCCAACACTGGACGTTAGAAGGTCAGGTACATTTTAGATTACAAGGTAAATGCCAACCAAAGCAATTTTGTTGCTTTGGAGGAAGAGAATGTACCTTGAGTCTCCATGTCCTCTCTTATCAGTTCTGTTAAATAAAGATTACAGATATCATCCCTGTGGATGATGCTCCTGCAGCAGCCCCCCAAAGGCCAGGCTAAAAACCAAGATGGGATCTCTCACACTGAAGTTCAGTCACCAAGCAGAAATGAAACTGAAATCATGGGCAGAGATAACAGCTGGGTTTCCCGAGCAGGCCATGTTCACTTGGCTTGATAACAAATGGCCCTCTGTCTTCATCCCTACACACAAGAAGATAACCTGTAGGAACTTGATGTTAAGAAATTAACATAATTGTGTCTCCATGCCCCTGCCTGACAAAGAAAAGTACCTGTGAAATGACAGTCTGCCTTCTTTAATTATCTACAAAACGATGGCTTTCATAACCAAACATGGATATCATGCACTTTGCTCATATTCACCCTCTGTTACCCTCTCTTTTTAAAAAATATTT